TCTATCTATCTATCTATCTATCTATCTATCTATCTATCTATCTATCTGAGACAGGGTGTCACTATGTAGCTCTGGCTGTCCTGAAACTTACTGTGTGGACCACGCTGGCCTCTGCCTCTACAGCTCTGGGACTGAAAGTGTGCATCACTATACCTGGCTGAAACATAGCTTTCAAATTGCATGGTGGTGCACGCCTTTAATCTCAGTACTTGGGAAACAGAGGCAGAGGCAGGCAGAGCTCTGAGTTTGAGGCCAGCGTGGTCTACAAAGCCAAGTTCCAGGATAGCTAGGCTACACAGAGAAACCTGTTACTCTATCTTTTTGTGGAAAGATTAAGAAAAGGAGAGTTTAAGAAAAGGAGACAACAATTAAAACTGGATTACTTGAGAAATTTAGCTGTTAGCTTTCTGTGATTATAATACTTCCTGATTTTGTGAAAGATCAGTTTGAGATGGATGCTGTGAAACTTCAGCATGAATGACTTCATTTTGATTGTTTACTGAGCCCTAGAACACAGGGTAGTGTAAAGCAACAGCCTTCTATAATATTTAGCATTTTCATATGAAATTCTTTGTCCTTTCTTTCTTTTTCTTTCAAAACAGGGTTTTTCTCTGTAGCCTTGGCTGTCTTGAAACTCACTTTGTAGACCAGGCTGGCCTTGAACTCATAGAGATCTGCCTGCCTCTGCTTCTTGGGCTTAAAGATACGAGCCATCACTACCCAGATAATTTGTCAGATTTTTAATGATAGAAGTTCTTATTTCACGGTGCAATACTTTGTTTTGCTGTATACTCTTGAGTAGGAAAATTTATGGTGGCTGAAGAGCTTGTTCAGTGATTAAGAACACTAGTTACTCTTTCAGAGGGCCCAGATTCTGCTGCCAGCATTCATATAGTTCACAACCATGCTTAACTCCAGTTCAAGGTGATCTAGTGCCCTTTTCTTGCTTCTGTGGGTGCCAGGCATACATGTGGTACATATACATACATACAGATAGAATTCATAAACATGAAATAGAAATAATAAATCTTAGAATTTAAAGTGTTTGAAAAGGATTATAGGTGTGTGTCACCATGCCCAGCTCATGCCAATTAAGATTTATAAACTGGGCCTGCCGCTAAAACTGATGACTTGAGTTTCCTCCTGGAGACCCATAAGATAGAAGAAGATGAAAATTATTACTGTGATTGCCAGGCATGCAGGTATTCATACTAAATAAATAATAATCATCAGATCTTTCCATTTATTTGATCTACACATTAATTACAGGTGAAGTTAAATATAAAAAAATAAAATTTTAGAAGGAAACTATTATTATACCATTAAGCAGTAAAACAGAGGTTACTGGTATAATTTCTTTTGTTGTTGCTTCTGTTTTTGTTTGTTTGTTTGTTTGTTTTGAGACAGGTTTCTTTGTGTAGCCTTGGTTGTCCAGGACTCACTTTGTAGACCAGGCTGCCCTCAAACTCACAGAGATCTGCCTGCCTTGACACTGACATTTCACAGAGACATATTCTGCACTTATATCTTTTTTTTTTAAAGATTTATTTTATGTATATAAGTGCTCTACCTGCATGTACACCTGCACGACAGAAGAAGGCATCAGATTCCAGTATAGATGGTTGTGAGCCACCATGTGGTTGCTGGGAATTGAACTCAGGACCTCTGAAAGAGCAGACAGTGCTCTTAACCACTGAACCATCTCTCCAGCCCCACTGCACTCACATCTTATAAGGTACCCTATAATACATTTTAAATATTGAAAATGCAGAAACAATCTAGCATAAATCAGAAGGGAAATGGGCAATTTTAGTTGTACTGTAAAACTGAAACATTAAAATAAACTAGTCATAGCTAAGTGGTGGTGGCACACGCCCTTAATCCCAGCCCTTAGGAGGCAGAGGCAGGCACATCTCTGTGAGTACAAGGCCAGCCTGGTCTACAAAGAGAGTCTAGGACAGCGAAGGCTACACAGAGAAACCCTGTCTCAAAAGCCAAACAACAAAAGCAACAACAATCCAAAACCAAAAACCAACCAAAACAGAACAAAACAAAACAAAACTAGTTGTATGACTAGACATGCATCCAGGTACGGGTGAACACACACACACACACACACACACACACACACACACACACAAGCACAAAACCTATAGAAATAAACACTCTATAACATTTAATTCAACCAAGAAAAGACAGAAATATCATGTTTTATATGGCTCCAGGTACAATCTGAAGGATCGGAATACTTATAGAAAGAATATATATTCAGGAGACTGAGAAGCACTAAGGGACTTTATATGTACTTGTATTTTCCTGTCTTTAGAAAAGTAGTTTAAAATAAATACAGCAAAATACTGACACATGCAGAAGCAGCATGTCATGGTGGATGACTTTGAGTTTCTGCTATAAAATTCTGTTTGAAATATTTCATAAGTTTAAAAGTTTAGTTACTTTTAGTAAAGAAAAAACTACTCTACTACAGGATGATATTTAAAGGTAACTCCCTGGTTTTTTCAGCACTGATTCTAAACTGCACACATACTTGCTGTGTTCCAAGTTTTCCTCTTCCTTCCAGTTGTTCAGGCTGGGAACTATGCAAATGCAAAGCTACTATAGCGCCTAGAACTAAGCAAGTGACCAGCAACTGGGCAGACTTGATGCAGAACTCTCCTGCACACAGGCAGTACCAAAGCTCCAGCTCCCCTGGCCCTGACCCTGCACATCACAGTTGCTTCCCTGTCAACACTTCTGCCTGATTTCTCTTTTCTACGGGTTTGCTGGTACTCTTCACCATTCTACAGAGCTTTGGCTAAGTTTACTTAACTAACCTGGATTCTCTCCCGAAATTACTTCCTACAGATCTAAAGCTAAGTATGGTGGTACATACCCATAGTAACCCCAGGACTCAAGAGGCTGACACAGGGAGATTTCAAGTCTGATGTCAGCATGGGGAGAATCCTGTCTCTCAGACCAAAAAAAAAAAGAAAAAAGACTGCTCTGACTCTTAGATTTTTTCTCCCCCTCAAATGGGTTCTTCCTTTATGTCATGTCTTTAAAGATACTTGCTCATTCTGTTGGTTTCTCTATTTCTTTGTTTGGATGTAAACATACATTGAGATTATTCCTTTAAACAGTTTTATTACCTTCAGAATTCAAAAATGCTATTTTATAGAAAATCACTAAGCATATTTTAGAAAAGTAAGTATATATTCTGAGAATTCAGAAAAACTAAATATATGCCCATTTGTAAAGGTGACCCACACAAGTTGTAATATAGAGGTTTAAATTTAGTAAATTAAAAAAATATAATGTGTACAAATAGAAAAGATTCTCACATGAGTGGTCTGACGAGATGTTGTGTGGAACCAAAACAAAGTCATCCGTGTCACAAGAAGAGTTCTTGCTACTATTACTGGCAGAGTCTTTGGACACCTGTAGATAGTTAGGAGGAGCCAATGGTGGGGAGGATAAGTTTTCTTCCTGAATATGCTGCATATCTGGAAGGGACTAAAATTAACAACATAAAATTAAAACTGTCCTAATAATCAAATGCAAGTCAGAATAGCCTAAAGAGTATTTCTTTTATAAATGTGGGAATAAATTTCCATCTAAGATTTCACACACACACACACACACACACACACACACACACACACACCTCTTTCGAAAATCTTTTAGAAATGTTTAAAATGTTTGTGAATAGACTTCTGAAATGGTTCCAGAGTGACCCTTAAAAATGTAGCATTTATCACATGTACACATCTAATTTGCCTGAAACGTTGGAAAATGTGAGTTTTTCATCATTACAACCTCCCTAGTCTCAGCTCATGGCTTTGCAAAGCAAAATTAAGTAAGTATTAACTTAATGACTAAACATAAAATGTCTAGTGACTTAAATACCATACCATGCGTAAAAAATTCGAGACATATTGAAGAAAACATTGTACACAGAAAAGCAAAAGACCATGTTATGGAAAAGAACAGACATATCAATACGGGTAATGTCTGTTGGACTACAGGTTTATGCTCACAGGAAGATTTAGACAACTTTACAACTACAGATGTGTTCCTTTCATTTGTTTTGTTAGGAGGAGGAGGTCATTTGTCTGAGGGAGACAGGACAAGAAAGGAAGAGAAGTATACAGCTACATTTAAAAAACAACTTAGGCATAAGCTGCCATGTTTTTTTTTGGCACTTGCCTAGCTCAAAGACTCTGGTGATAACGCTACTGAAAAACTATATGATGTTTCTAAAGCAATTTCATAACTTGTGTTAAGTCTCTATGATCTTTAATCCTGGTATTTCAGAAAAGGAAAAAAACAAAACAATCCTACCTCAGTGCTCTTTAAACCCAAGCCTTAGCTCCCCAATTCACTTCTGCCGAGACTTTAAGTACCTCTTGAACTAAGTCTCAAAAGCAGTTTACCACATGTATGTACGTGTGTAAGTGTGCACCTTTGGGAGTGTGTGTGCAAGTGCACATGTATCGACAGACCAAAGGCCAACCTCTGATGCTGTTCCCCAAGAGCCACTCATCGGCTGCTGTCCTGGAACTAACTACACAGACCAGATTGGCCTCGAACTTACAGCCGTGAGTTTGCGTGGAGACAAGATGGCTAAGATGGTGGGGCCCTGTGCTGCCTGGCACAAGTTGCTGGTGAATGCCTAGCGTGTCCCGAGTGTCCACGGAGCTCTGTCTGCCTCTGTTACTCTCCACCACCTGCTGGCAGATGCCATGGAGGACAAGGACAGGCAAAGGAAGCTGAAATCTGGCAAGACAAAGCTTGCTTGGTTTCAACAAAGAAAAGCTCAATATGATAGGCAGAATCCCAAGAAGCAGAGGAAGAAGAACAACAGAACTTCAAGCTGTTTACAGCTGTAAACAAGATGTATACAGCTTAAATATCGATCAACAGAGTGATGAGACGTCCATAAGCAGTGCTCAGTTGGTAGAAATAGCTGGGAATCCTGATTTTATTGGAATGAGAGCTCATCCCATTGGGGAAATAACAAAGCATGGTCAGGTCTTCTATGCTGAACCTGAAAGTGAAATTTCTACCACAGCAGATGACTGCAGCCCAGAGGTAAATAGCTGCAGTTACATGACAAAAACAGGAAAGCCTACACACTTCTTACAGGAAGAAAAAACAGGAAAGCCTACACACTTCTTACAGGAAGAAAAAACAGGAAAGCCTACACACTTCTTACAGGAAGAAAAAACAGGAAAGCCTACACACTTCTTACGGGAAGAAAAAACAGGAAAGCCTACACACTTCTTATGGGAAGAAGAATTTGGCACTGATGCTTCTTATTCTGAACAAGTTCAGTCCAGTCAGACCCATCTTGAGATGATGGAAAATGAGTGGCTGAGAAACAGCATGATATTGAAGAACTGTCTCAAAAACTGGAAGAAATGAGGACCACCTTCAGGACAGAAGGGCAGCAGGTATTTTGAAGGGCAGCAGAATTTGAAGCTGCCATTAAGTGAAGAGATGGCATCACAGCTCAGCTTATTGCTAACTTGCAACAAGAAGAGAAAAGGATGAGACAATGAGAGAATTTTTAGAATTGGCAAAACAAAGTCATAAATCACAGATTCAATTTCAGCGTGTACAGGCTAATGAAATGGTGAAACAACACTCATAGCAGCAGTGCTAAAGATTCACTGCAGACCAACCAAATAACAGATCCTTACTCATCAGCAACAGCTGGAAGACCAAGACCAAGATTATCAGAAAAAAGAGAACTTCAAAATGAAAATTAGTTTTTTTTTTACAAGAGAAAATTAAAGTGTATAAAATGTAAAAAGATAGAAAAGGAGAAAACTTAAAAAAGAAATACAGGACAAGCAGGCAATCACCGAAGCACTGAATACAAGAAAAATAGAAGAAGAAAAAAAACTGTTGAGCTAGTGAGAAAACAATTGCTGATAGATTATTAGATTTGTAAGAACAGGTTGCAGAAAGGACCACGAGATCAAAGCATGAAACTATATAACTGGCCAACTCTCAGCAAAATGAATGAAAGTGTGAGGAAATTAAACAGTTAATGAGAACAGTTGAAGAACTACAGAAGAGAAACATTAGCGATTTCTGGAAACTGGCACAGTCCAAGGAATGGAACAAGAAACACAATGATGAAAGTAAGCTTAAAGCTCAAAAAGTAAGCTTCAAGAACTCCAAATTGTAAAGAGGTAGTCCAGTGATGCAGAAGAGAAGAGTTCTGGCTTTGCTGATGAGGGAACTTTCCTATCTGAGTCATTGGAAGTCAGTGAGACTGTTGAAAAAGATACAACAGAACTAATGGAGAATCTGGAAGTAACCAAGCAAGAAAATTTAGAACTCTCAGAGAAACTCTGAACAGTAACAAGAAAAAAACAAAAGCAGCTGAAAGACACTAGGTTATAGGAAAAACAAACAAACAAACAAACAAACCCTGTGAAATTAAATCAACCTATATCCTATAAGGATGTGTTAACATCAGAATGGAAGTGAATCCTTTGCATTGGGGACATGGATTTGCTTATATTTCCACAGGAAACAAAAATCTGTGGATACTATCAAAACTCATAAAGTTCTGAGTTAAACCGGGGAGGTTGTCAGAAAACCTTTGCCACTGACTCAAAAAGAACAAAGATGAGAGAACCTGACCAACCACTGCCTTTCCCTGACAGCCAGAAAAGCCTGGACAAGAAACGTTCCTCACCTAATCACTGACAGGCCAATGAGCAGGACTTTTAAGACAGAATATGCTGCAGGCGTAAGTCGGGGCTGCAAGCTAAAGGTTCACAGAGCTGAGAGGAGAGATGAAGAGACTTCAACAAGAACTCCAAACATGAGGTGCTAGAAGATACAACAGTCCAGGAGTATAGAAGATTCAGGAAGTAGTATCCAAGTTAGAGGAAAGAAAAGCATATTATCTCAGTTGTGAATATGCTCCTGAGAGATCAACAAAAAGATCACATCAGACACCTGAGAACCCTGGAAAAGACATTGGAAAGAATGGAGAAGCAAAAATCACAACAGTCGCATGGCTACAGGGAGTACCCACAGCAGCTTCAAAGCTGCATAATTAGTAGCTAAAACAAATTGGGGGAGGGATGTAGTGTGATTTTTCTTGTGTTCCTGGCCCTTTGGGAATTCTTAGCTGTTAGAACTGCTTGACCCTACGACCTTTAGTGTCAGTTACCTCTTGGATTTCTGAGAACAGGAAAGGATATAAAAGATAGTAGAGGCTAAGAGAGACTGAGTAAGGTGCAGGGAGAAAGGAGTTTATAAAATAGAGAAGAGAAGGCAGATGATGCAGAAAAGAGATTGAGCAGAGCAAAAAGAGAAGACGTTGACCCAGGAGACACGGAGCTGAGCAGAAAAGATATAGTTAGGAAACAGTTACGAGAACCCACAAATAACAAATAAAAAACAAAGAATGCAAAAAAAGACAGAAAGGTACGCCATTCGTACACCTGCCTCTGCCTCCACCTCCCAAGGGCTAGCACTAAAGGCATGCACCACTGTCTCTGCTCTTGAGCATCAAAAATTTGTTTTGATTTATGTGTATGTGTGCTTATGAATGCATAGTGTGTGCATGTAAGGGCCTGAAGAAGCCAGAAAAGGGTGTCAAATCCTCTGGAGTTAAGAGTTACAGGCAGCCATAAGCTGCCCAACATGATGCTGGCAATCTAATTCAGATCTTCTGGAAGAGCTGCAAGTGCCCTTTACTCTGAACCATCTCTCTAGCTCTCTCACCTTGTTGTTTTGAAACAAGGTCTCTTGCTGGAACCTGTGGCAAATCTCCCTAGTCCACTGTCTTCTTTCTTTGTGTCGCACATACATTCCCTTGTCACCCCTTTGAACACTCTGAAGGTAATAAAGTGAAAGGAAGATGAAGGACCAACATTGCAAGCATTAACTTATCTGCTCAGCTCTAATTCTACCTGTATTTTGAATTCCATTTCACAACTAGATGAACTAAAAAATAAAAGCTCAGAGGGTTAGGTAAGTTTCCTAATATCACACAACTGTGATAATAGTGAAATTGAGATGTGATCCAAGTACCTTACTCTGTAATTTCTTGCCAGTGACTTAGATGGAAACATTTAATTTCTTTCCCTGCTATTCAAAAGCACCTGCATCCTTTCAAAAGCATCTGACCTCCTTTCTTACCTTGTTTGAAATGATGCTTCTGTTGCATCCAAAGCTTACTCTGTATTCCAGACTATTACTCTTACTCTAGCCTGCTCTGTATTCCATCTTTCCTTATCCTCAAGGTACAGATCAGGTCCTGACATTTTTATTCTCTCTCTCTCTCTCTCTCTCTCTCTCTCTCTCTCTCCATAAACATGCTTTTATATAAACATGCTTCAGTTTTGTTTTGTTTTTTTTAATCTCAAATCTCTGATTACTACCTTTTTTTTTTTTTTTTTTTAAACAGAGCCTTAATACGTAGCCCTGGCTGTCTTGAACTAAGTAGAACAGGTTGGCCTCAAACTCAGAGATCCACCTGCTTCTGCCTCCCAAGTGCTGGGACTAAAGGCATGTGCCACTATGTCCAATTTTTTGGGCTTTTTTTGCTTGTTTATTTGTTTGTTTGTTTGTTTGTTTTTTAACCCCCTCTTCTTTATTTTCAGTTTTGTTTGTGCAGGGGCGGGGATAGAGCTGAGGGCCTGGTGCACACATGCCCAGAGCTCTACACTGAGCTGTAGCCAGGCCTCTTCACTTTTAATAATATTTCCTGAAATCATCAATCATCACTTCTTCGAATCTGTCACCTCACAAATTCTGAACTTGAAAAATAAGAAAGGCAACAACCATCTGTCAAAAGTTACACAGTGTAACAATGCAAAACTGTTTTGAAAAACTTTCTCAAAGGAAAGAGAGCCTCCTGGATGTCAGTTCCAGTAGGGCCTTCTCCGAAAATATTTTCCCAGGTTCAGCTAGTCAGACACTTAAAGGCCATTACATCTCTGGTCTAATGAGTGCACTGAAGTTGGCATTATCCATATGGTACTGGATTTTCAGGCATGAATATGCAAGAGTGAATAGATAATGGAGGTTTTGAGAAAGCTTTAAGAAAGCTGCTGAGGCCCAGGCAATACACAGAAGGATCAGATTCCCTAATGGAGCTCTGTGGCTGGGAATGAGGCCTTTAAGGTAAAGCTCTGATGAAGCCCAGATGATTCCCCCACAAATCCTAGATGAAGAGATGGAACTATAGGGTTTGACATTTGTTCTGATAGTTTCAGCCTTACTTTGGCCCCTTTTCCAAGGTATCTTCCTGTTTCTCCTTTCTGAAGGGGAATGTTTACCTTGGCCATTGTATGTCGGAAGCATCAAACATTTTTTTTTCCATTTCACAGGGGCTCACAGTTAAGACTACCTTGAGTCTTAAAGACTTTAGAACAGTGTTTGAACATTAAGACTATGGGGATTTTTAGAGTTGGGTGAAGTGCATTTTGCATTAAGAGATGACCATGAGCCTATGGCAGAATGTTAGGGTTTGAATGTAAAATGTCCCCCATTGGCTAATGCTTCAATATTTGGGCACTAGCTGATGGCACTGTTTTGGGATGTTGTGGAAACTTTTGGAAATGGGGCTTAGTTAACAATGTAGGCCATAGGAATTATCTTATAGGTTATAGCTTGGCCCAAGGTAGTCTCTGCTTCCTGAGCTACACAACTCTGAACAAGTTCTTTCCTGCTGCCACAGCCACCATTATCTTTCCCATCAAGACGAACTGCATGGTTTTTAAACTGTGAGCAAAACTAAACCCTTCCTTCCTTCCTTAAGCTTCTTCTTCCAGGAATTTTATCACAACAGCAAGGAAAGTAACTAATATGTCTACTGCTTGGTCCCCCACCCCAGACAATACAGGAACATGCATTATTTCTCTCCTCTGAAATTTCCAAATTCATAGACATATAATGTACGCCTTATGAACACACTGCTTTTTCTATTTGGCTTATGTTTGCAGGGTTGTGCAAGAAAAGTTTTTTTTAACTTTTTAAAATGTCCTTTTTTTTTATTTATTTAGGTGTATGGTGTTTGTCTGTCTAAGATCCATCAGAACTGGAGTTACACAAATCTGTGTACTACCATGTAGCTGTTGGGAACTGAACCCTGGTCTTCTTCAAGAGCTCTTATCCAGTGTTCTTATCCACTGAGCCAACTCTCTAGCCTTCACTTTTTTTTCTATTTTATTTTTGGGGTGTGTGCATGTGTGCTTATGCCTGTGTGCCCTTGTCTGTGTGTGTGCATTTGGAGGTTAACGGTTCATTCATCACCTTGCTTTTTGAAGCATGTTCTCTCTAACCCTAGAGTCCACTGTTTTGGTTAGAGTGGCTGTTCCATAAGCCCTTGGGGATCTAACTGTTTCTGAACTGCACTGTGTTGGAGTTATAGGTCCATGTGCCATCATGCCCAGGTTTTACGTGGACGTGGGAAATCTGAACTGAGGTCCTTATGAGTGCACAACCAACACTTTGACCACTGAACCATCTTTCTAGTCCCTTTTAGATGGTTTTTAAATTAAAACCCATTTCTAAGAACGGGCTTTGCTTCTCATATATTTTAGCTGTGGGATTGTGTTTCTCAAGAAAATAATATAATAGTTGTCACTGCCTGCAAATGTATTGAATGTTAGGTAAATAGTAAGAGCTTATGCTCAGTTATCTGTAAAAGAGGTAAGCTGCATTCATTTTACATATGAAGAAACAAGCTCAGAGCGATTAAAGCACTTATCCCATTACCATGTCAATATGGGATACAGTAGCTTTCAAGCTTCCTCTTAAACTTTTAAGTTGCCTTAGCTGGCTAATAACACAGTTGCCTTCTTTTATGGCTCCCCTATCTTTCTGCCAGCAGTCAAAAACTTCATGTCTACTTGGATACTTTGTAAAATACAACTGCTGAAATGAGAGCCCTCAGAATCCCTTCAGCTGTAAAACATCTTGAGATTATAAGGCTGTCACAGAAACTTGGAGGAAGGGTTGGCCTAACATATAGAAAAGAACTAGGTAAAACAGAATAGAGCGGGAAGAAGAAATGAACAGAGACACAGAAGTCCTCAAGGATCAGGAAGCTGACTTGAACTGGAAAGGACACAGCCATGAAGGGATTAGCTGAAGAACTTCAAGAGACTAAAGGGGTTTGAGTGGCAGGGATAGTAATCACAGAGAAGCCAGTAACATCCAGCTCCGAGGCTATTCCTCCACTCCTCAAATCCTATGGAATCTGAACATCTACAGTATACAGTAATTAGTTATTACTATTTACCTCTAATGAGCATTCTTTGTTTGCATGTACCACTAAATTCCCACCTGGCACAAGAAGGTGGTAGTAATAATCACTGTTGAGAGAAAAAGGGTCTAGAGACACAGCATTTCTTACTGAAATTACACAGCTAAGAGAGCAAAGGGCCAAAAGCAGAACTCCTGCTCCAACTCCAATGTCCTTTTTCCTAACCCTCAGCTGCACAGTAAACACACCCACTAAAAGAACAGAAGCTCTAACTCTGAAATCATTTTCAATAAAACCCACTCACCGGTGGAGAGGCAAAGCGACAAGATGGTGAGCTGCTACAGGAGCTTCCAGGGACAGGGCCAGCATACACAGGCACTGGGACTGGGCAAGCTGGGGAAGAAAAACAGTCAAAAAAACCACGTCTTTCTATAGTGGGTTATAAGATCTGTCTTTAGTACAAGCTGCCAAAAAAACAAAACCAAAACCAAAACCTTATTTTAAGCAAAATTTTAATTTACATATTCATTCGTGGTTTCATAAATAGAACAAAAGAATCCAACAAAATATTTAAGAAAGGGGGAAAAAAGAGCAAAGTGGTAGTGTATGCCTTTAATTCCAGCACTTGGGAGGCGAAGGCAGGGAGATCTCTGAGTTCCAGTTCAGCCTGGTCTACAGAGTGAGTTCCAGGACAGCCAGGGCTACACAGAGAAACCCTGTTGGTTACAGGGAAGAAGAAAAAAGAAAAATGACTGGGCAGATGGCTCAGAAGATAAAAGTACCTGCAGCCAAACCTGACTACCTAAGTTCAATCCCTGGAAACCATATGGTAGAAGGAGTGAACCAACTTGTCCTTAACTTCCTCATGTGTGCACATGCAGGAACACACAAACACAGATGATAAATGAGTAAGATTAGTTAAGAGAGTTTGGTTTCCAGCTCCTGTATCAGCTGCCTCACAAACACCTGTACCTCCAGTTCCAAGGGATCCAACCGATTCTTTTGGACTCCTGGATACCTGCACTCAGGTGCACCTATCCATACACAGGCACAAAGACATACTTAAAAATAACAAAGATAAATATATTTTATAAAGTTTAATTAAAATAATTAAAAGTTAGCCAAAAATGCAATAGTTGGGCTAGAGAGATGACTTAGTAGGTTTGATCACCAGGACCCACATGATAGAAGGAGAGTTGATTCCTACAAGCTGTCCTCTGTATGTGTACACATACATACACATCATAAAAATAAATCTAAAATTTTAAATAAAATGCAATAGTTACTGAACCTTTTAAAATTCAAATTAGAAAAAAAATGTTGTTGCATAAACACAATTGCAGATTATAGCTATCTAGGGAATGTTTAAGGAACTTTTGAGCAATACAATAAAAATTAACTTGGTATTCAAAATACTATTTTTTTTATTTTAGATTGAATAGTCTCTGGAAGTAAAAGTGTAAAAATGGAAATTTAGAGCATGGAGGTGATGGCACATGTCTTTAATACCACTACTAGGGAAGCAGAGGCAGGTGGATCCAGCCTAGTCTAAAGAATGAGTTCCAGGTCAGCCAGGGCTACACAGAGAAACCCTGTCTTGAAAACAAACAAACAAAAAAATTAAATTACATGAGTTGGCTAGATGGTTCATCAGCTAAGAGCACTAGCTATTCTTCCAGAAGACCCACATTCAACACCTATATGACAGCTCACAACTGTCTGCAGTTCCACACAGACATGCATGCAGGCAGAACACCAATGTACAAAAAAATAAATAAATCATTAAAAAAGTTAAAAATAGGAACTTACATTTTTTAACTGGAACTTGCTCAAGAAAAGGATGGCTGAAAAATGCTTCTGTAAAGAAACATGACAACATAACCTTTAGAAAAAACATTTACTAGGGCTAGAGAGCTGTCTCAGCCACTAAAGGCCTTATAAGGCTCAAAACTAGAATACATTGAATACTGGAGAAATTAACCAATGAGACCACAAAAGAGGCACAGAGAGATAGAAATGTATCAGAGCAAAAAAGAGATATGGAAAAGTAACTTCAATTCATATGAATATCAGAAATGGTAAATATATGTTAATATTAAGATGCTACATAAATATTTTTCTCCTTTCATTCCTTCTACAAGAGACATAAGACTACGTAACACAATAGTTAGTACACTGCATTGTTTTTAAATAACATAGATGTGCTGAGTGACAACTACAACTCATTACAGAGGATGAAATGGAATTATAACTGAAAACAATTTTTCTATTCCTGGAATTCAACTATTATTTATGCAAAGTAGACTGTGATAAGATACCCATTATAATCCCTATAGCAACCATTAATAAAATAACTAGTAGATTTTTAAAAATTAATAAAGAACTGTAAGTGGCAACCTGAAAGTACCATGATTGATAACTGTCACCCACTGGCTGACCTGTCTAGACTTATCCCCAACCTAGCTCTCTCCCAACATTCAAGTGCTCACCGACATCAGCACTCAGACACCCAGTGGTTATCGTAAACATAACACGTCTAATCACAGTTCTGGTCCCGACAGTCCCTTCTATCTACAGCTTTCCCGTTTCTGTAACGGACAGGCCATCCTTTCCAGTTGCTCAGGCCCAGACCCACAGTCATCCTGAAGTATGTTTCTTATTACATTATTAGGAATCACTGAAACCCCTACCTCTGGAAAGGTCCACCAACTACTTTACATATTCTTCACTGCTATCACCCCAACTTAAGCTACACTCTGCTCTCAAGTGAATTAATTCCTACCTTTTGATTTTCCTGCCATACACAGTCTGTTCTAAGAAATGGCCAGATTGATATTTTCCCCTGCTTAAAACCTTCTGATGATTTTCCATCACATTCTGTCTTCAAGTGGCTTCTTCGTCTGCTCTCAAGCTTTCGCTCATGCTCCCAGCTTAAAGCTTCAATACTGGTTTTTCCCTCTGCCTAAAATTCTCCCCCCACAGACAGCTACACAACACATTTCAGGTTGATTGATTCTTTATTCATATACGACAGTGTACTGCTTTATTTAAAATTTTAGTTCCCCATTCCATATCTCTTCTTCTTTCTATTTTTGCATAGTACCTAGCACCTTGTAACACAACATACAATTACAGTTTATAATTTATTCATTATCTCTCTTTCCTTCTCTAGATTATATACTACATGAGGACACCTGTAAGTATATTGACACGTGTTGTACTATTCTATCCCACATTTCTGGTACATAGCAAGCACTTGATAAATGTTTATTAAAATAGAGAAAGAAAAAAGACAAACAAGCTAAGGTTGACGCCTGCAATCCCAGCACTTGGAAGGCAGAGGCAGAAGAATCTCTGTGAGTTCGAGCCCAGCCTGGTGGTCCACAAAGTGAGTTCCAGGACAACCAAGGCTACACAGAGAGACCTTGTCTCAAAAAACAAAAACAAACAAAAGCAAAATGGACTTTTTTTCTCTGGTATCTCTATGTAATCTATATAATCTTTTCAGCAAATATAAAATTAGAAAATATGCCCAGCTTGACACTATTACTTACCAAAGTCCATTCTATCCTTTTGATTTCTCTGAAGCAAACCCAAAAGGAGATTAGCCAAGTAAGGTGATGTTTCTCTGGGAATACTAAGTAAAAAACAAATATTAGTGGTGAGTTTATATGTATTTAACTACATTAGTTTTGCCTTCATTCTGATAAATGAAAATGTATATACACTTTCACAAATATTACATTATAACAAGAAAATATGATAAAACTTCATATGTTTAAGTGAGGAAAATAAAGGCACTACACTAACTGTTGATAATTATCAGCAACATGAACAGGTCCCTGCCAGTGCAGAACACTATTATTTACAAGTATCTGCTAGAATAGAGAGCCTGAGTTTTAACACAACTATTAACAGCTGCTATAAAATTCTCTGAAGAAAAAAACCTCCTTTAGTTCTGTCTAGAAAAGGGCAAAGCTTAATTAAATACAATTAACAGGGCATACAATTTCTAAAAGCCTGCATTAAAACGGGAAAGCAACTGAAAAATGAGGAACAGGAATATACAAACCATGGCCTACAAACTAATAAAAAATACTACGGTAAATAAAAATGAGTCAACTTTATTAATGAAGAGAATAATATAAATTAAAATAGCTAATTGGTCTTCTTCCCTTTGTGATGAAAGGTATTCTATTTACACTGCCACATCAAACAGGAAAGACAATTAAGAGGTACACCTTTTTGTCAGTTCAACAATTCTATTTTTAGCATTTATTCTAAAAAAAAAAAAAAAGAATACACAGTGGTGTATAATCCTACACACTTTTACTAAAGCCTGCTTGTAGTAAGCAAAAAATGAAAACAATAGGAATATAAGTAAATAAAATTGAACATTTTATAAGACTCTGTGTAGCTACCAAAAAGGATGTGCACCCTGCTCAACATCTAAAATACAGAATAAAAAACAAACAAAAGCTAGGCATGACGATCCATTTCTCTAATTTTGTCATTCAGAAGGCTGAACTAAGGTGAGCTTGCAAGTCTGAGCTACCTAGCAATCTAACAAAAAAGAAAGAAAAAACAACTCAAAATGTAATTTATCTTAAACTCTGTGTGTGTGCGTGCGCGTGCGCGCGCGCGCACACACACACACCTTCTCAAGCATGTGTAAAGAACTCCCAAAAGGAATATTTGGAAAAATACACAATAACTCTTACTATTGCTACAGAATGTCCATAGCCTAGGTAGGAATTTACTTTCTGCTTTATGAACCTGGGTCTGTTTGCCTTCACACAAGTAACACATGTAAGTTCTGTGATGTTTTCCCTTAAATTTTAAGCCAAGTGGTGGTAGCACACTCCTTTAATCCCAGCACTTGGGAGGCAGAGGCAGGTGGATCTCTGAGTTCGAGGCCAGCCTGGTCTACAGAGTGAGTTCCAGGACAGCCAGGGCTACACAGAGAAACCCTGTCTCAAAAACAAACAAACAAACAAATAAACCCCAGTATAATTTAAATAAAATCCAATCACATACCTAGGCATTAAGCTCCTGTTTTTTTCATAAAACATCCTTAGGTCTTGAGGACTATTAGCCTATTTAAGAAAAAGAAAAAGTTAACTTTCTAAATAGAAAGGAGCAAAACTTCTGAATCCACAACTAGCACTCATGTTCCTACTGTAGAATGTACATGGATGTTGACCCTGAGTGCCATGGACTGCTCATGAATGGATTTCTGGGCACAAAAGACTTACAAAAGCTCTGAGATCATATGCAAATCCTGAGTATCTTGGTACAATATACCTTTTCTAAGGTTAGACCCTCAAAAGAACCTGAAAGAGAACAGCCGCTATTCTGTAGTTCCATGACCTACCCAATAAGCCCATTATCACTGTGTATAACTGAGGTTTGTAGGAACTTGGGGAACAACACAAGTCTAAGCCAATACTGTCTCCATGGCAGCAGCCCTGCTACAGAAGAGTGGCTGGACTAGTGAACCTGCCTCTACATACAAACCACACTGAAAATGCAAAGCAAGTAATTTGACTGCATTGCTAACCCCTTTTTATACCAAGCTGGGCAAATAATTTCATGTTGTTACAATTTTCAGGTTAATTTTAAAAAATTAAAGTTTGAAAATATGAACTTGAGATGCTGGCATATCTTCTGAAAGTCAGCCTCTTACTATGAAAAGGAGATGAGGAAAACAGATCCAAAGTCTTAATAATTATTCCCCTCTCACTCAGACAGTATCAGGAATAGAGTTGGAGACAAGTTTTCTGTGACGCATCAGAACAGCCCCCGCCTCATCTGATCCCAAACCAGATTAGCAGGAAGAAGTCTGGTCACCATTCCTCACAAGCTGCTAGCCCTGAAAACATCTAGCAGACTTCATGGCAGTCCAACTTACAAAGGGCAAGCAGATAAAAAGGAAAAACAAACACCCTAGCCCCTCACAGCATTACCTGTAACAAAATCAAGTAAGTCACAGAGAAGCCTAAAACCTACTACTTTCAAACTATTTTTCATTTTGTAAATAGAAGGCAAAACTAGAAGGTCCTAGAACTGAGGACATAAGAAAAAGTCGGGCTACCTGAAAAGGTGGTTTTCCAACTAGGCATTGATAGATCACTGTTCCTATGCTCCATAAATCTGCCTTAGCGTCATAATGTTGAGACATAATTACCTCAGGAGCCTGTTCACAAAAAGTCAAGAAACATGAACCGTTAGTTGCAGCCTTAATGTATACACACTGATTTACTGATGATGAATCTCATACTACTAAGTAAAAATGTTAACATATTGTGATATTAACCTTACAGAATGATACTGCAATGAACTTAGAATTACTTTACAATGTTTATATATTATAACGAATACCAAATATAGTAAGAGTATTCAATTAATAAGGAAAAAAATATATCAATTACAGGTCAGAAGTTCCCTCAGGGTGAGAGATGAGAACATACCAGAACAAGGGGAAGATACAAAAGAGACTTGGATTGCTCGAATACTTTTTCTTCAAAGAGAACAAGGCAAAAAAAGAAAAATATTTTGTTTAAATATGGATGGTGTTAGGTACAAATACATGTTACATTATCCCTTACGTTTTCTGTAATTTAAAAGTCTTTTATAATAATAAAAAACTATAATACAAAAGACAGTAAGAGAAACTATCTTAAAAGCAAAGACAGTCAGGTGGATAGGCACATGTTTGTAATCCTAGCACTTTGGAGGCTGAGGGTTCACAGATTTGAGAGACCCTGACTCATAAAAAAATAACAACAAAAACAAAAAGCAATGGCATTTTGTTTTAAGTGGTTTTTAAAACAATCAAGTATTTTATAAAAACAAAACAAAAACATACCATTGCTGGGCATAGTGGCACATGCCTTTAATCCCAGCACTCAGGCAGCAGATCTCTGTGAGTTGGAGGCTAGCCTGGTATACACAGCAAGCTCCAGGGCAGCCAAGGTTTCATAAAGAGACCCTGTCTCAAAATAAAGCCCACCCCCCTAAAAAAAAAATCAACCAAACAATTGATAAAGAGGCCAACTACACTTAATGTGAAACTATTTTCTATACATAACACTTGTTCCTAGTAAATTTAAATTTTTTTCCATTCTTTTTATGTTTGTGGATGTTTTGCCTACATGTGTGTCTGTGTGCTACATGCATGCAGGGCCCTCAGAGGCCAGAAAAGTGTATCAGTTCCCTTGGAAACGTAGTTACAGGTGGTTGGAAACCACAAAGGGGTGCTGGAAATTGAACCTAGTCCTCTGCGAGAGCAATGAATGCTCGTAATTGTGGAACACCCCTTCTCTTTCTGGTAAATTTCTCAACTGAACCTTTTCCCTACCCGTGGTTCAGGTACTTGAACCCAGGGCACACACCACTGAGTGGCTATATTCCCAGATAGCCACCTTTCTGTAATAATCAGCCAAAATACTCTGATCACTGTTAAACTAGTTTCCTTTTCTTTTGGAGACACAGTCTTGCTATACAAGCACAGGCTGGCTTTAACTCTTGATCTTCCTTCCTCCACTTCCTAAGTGGCATATGCCACCAAGCCCTGCCCCTGACCTAATTTCATACTTAAGATATGCAATTTTTAAATTTCATTAAAGTATTGAGTTTATTTTATATAAGCAATGAAATTGTGATTTAAAAAGTAAATCTCATTAGGGGGAAAAAAAAACCCTAGACTTTGATTACTAGTTCCTTTGATGTCAAAGTAGATTCTAAATGTTTTGTTTTGGCTTTATAAGACAGGGCCTTGTTAATCAGTCCAGGCTGACCTGGGATTCACAATCGTCCTCTTTCAACCTCTTGCAAACATCTGCCAATACTCACAGTTGATTTTACATTAGAGGGTACAAACTGAGACCTGAAACATGCATTTTTTTGTTTTGTTTTGAGACAGAGTCTCACTGTGTCACTACGTCACCTGGGCTGGCCTGTAACTTACTATATAGATTAGGCTGGTCTCAAGCTCACGGAGCTCCACCTGCTTCTTCTTCCTTATAGGCATATTCATTTATTTAATCTAATCCTGCAGCTTTATATTTAAGTTATTACATTAAACTATTAAGCTTAATAGTTTACATTAGTTCATGAGTTTCATAACCTACTATACATTATTAAAGGGTAACTAGCTAAGATTATATTTTAGCATTAAGTGTGAAGCTAAAAAAGAAGAATTTCTACAATGTAAGAAACTTAATAAGACAAACAGCATGTAAAATATAAGCTTATCTTATAAAGGTACCCCAAAAGGCACAGATTCTCCTCTGTTGTTTTGTTTTTTGAGACAGGGTTTCTCTGAGTAGCTGTTCTGAAACTCACTCTGTAGACCAGGTTGGCCTGAAACTCAGATCTGCCTGACTCTGCCTCCCAAGTGCTAAAGTGCTAAAGGCATGAGCCACCACCAGCTGGCTTCTGTAAGTATTCTTAATTACTGTACATTAAAATTTCACAGCATTATGTGAAATTTTACTTTCAGTTGAATCTAACAGGGTGTAGTGGTTTGAATGAGAAATGTCCCCCACAGGCTCATGTATTTGAATCCTTGGTCCCCACACGATGGCACTTTTGGGGGAAATTATAGACCTTTTACAATGTAGAGCCTTGCTGTAGGAAATATGTCACTGGCAGGGGTGCTGAGGAATTATAGCTTCATCCTACTTCCCGTTTCCTCTTTTTCTCTCCTTCCTTCCTTCCCCCTAACTTCTTGGCATCCTGTCTGTGGACATAATGTGATCAGCCAGCTTCCTGCTCCAGTAGCCATGTTCATCTTGCCATTATGGACTCCCCTCTGGAACCATAAGCCAAAAGAAATTCTTCCATCTATAAGCTACTTTCGGTCCTGGTATTTTGTCACAGCAATAACAAAATAACCTATACATAGGGATTTCTACATAATTGATCTTTAAAAATAAAAAATAAAAATGAAGCCAGTCATGGTGGTACACACCTTTAATCCTAGCATTTAGAAGGCAGAGAGAGAATGGATCTCTGTGAGTTTGAGAGCAGCCTCATCTACAAAGTAGGTTCTAAGCCACCCAAGGCTATAAAGTGAGCTCATTTCAAAACAGTAACAACAACAAAATAACAGCAACAAAAAAGCCAACACCACCACCAAAAGCCCCCCCAAACAAACAAACAAACAAATAAAGACAGAGAGCTGGAAGAGATAGCTCAGCAGTTAAGAGCACTGGTTGATCTTCCAAAATATCCAGAATCAACTTCTAGCACTCATATGGCTTACAACTGTCTGAAACTCTAGTTCTGGAGGTTCTGATACCATCTGTTCTGGCAAACAATCAACCACAATAAAGTAAAAGAATTTTAAAAAGATTCAAAACTCAAATACAAATGTGGAACAACTTTTAAATCCACCAAGCTAAATCAAGACGTCTGTGTGATCACACTATTGCTAAAATAATTAGCAACAATATAAACCACTGTTCAGATCAAGACACAGGTCTTCTCACTCACCATGTACATTGGGGATCCACACAGTGTCGCTGCCATTGTGTTACTATGTAGGTAACGTGCAAACCCAAAATCAGCTGTTTCACAAAATTAAAAAAAAAAAAAGATAAAACAACAAATGACAGTTTGCTCACACTTTATGCATATCATATAACTCTAAGACACAGAAGGCACAAAAGAACTGTGAAAATTTTACTGAAAAGTCTCTCCACCAAAGAAAAACAAGTAGCTATCTCAAAAGAAGTTAATAGCAGCAGCAATAGTCAACTATGTAAGTCTGTACTTCACTAGCTTTTAACGAAGGGTCCTCAATCTTCGCGAATGGAAATACTACTTGTAATACTACTTGTAATATATCATTAAGTAACACAGCTCTCATTAAACATCAATACCACATTTATAATTTGAATTCTCTTTACAAATAGGGTCAAACATGCAAGAACACTAAAAGCACTCAGCAAGGGCTGAGTGAGATCCTTTGGACATCTGTCCGAGAATCAGAACTGTAGAGTCAGGTTCGTAACCTGTGCCTATAAGCATACTATTTCAGTTTCCTTCTCCAGGGAAGCAGGCTTTGTGTTTGGCCCTTCTTAGACTTAGGAAAAAAATTCACATATCTACACAGATCTCAATGAACTCTAACAATTTCAAAATGACATCTATAAAAATCTATTAGTCTAACAAATCTAAACTAAAATGATGTAAAAGTACTGTCTCAAAATGTCCTTTCCATGAAGCAAGACATGGTCATTTACCTATTTTAATACGAATACCACTGACATTTGACTTTCTTCTATTGGCGTAAGACAACAAGATATTTTGTGGTTTGAGATCCCTGTGGATTATTCCTTTGCTGTGCAGGATTCGCATGGCTGCTGCAATTTGATGAAGAAACACTCTGATAGTATCTTCACTGAGAGTTCCTTTAGCTGGCAGAAAAGGAGTCACATAAATATTTAAACAGACAAAAATCAAGTATCTTTTCATTCCATTAAGAGAATTCAGCTGATAAGGAGGGAATGAAATAAATTAAGAAACTGAGATTCACATATTCCTTGTTAAGAACTGAAATCTATAAGAGATAAACAGATTTCTCAAAATAAACAAACAAACAAAATGGTAACTGATCTGCTAAACAGAACTGGTTTGCAATTTTGTTTTTGGTGCACGCCTATAATCCCAGTGCTCTGGGAGACAGAGGCAGGTGGATCTCTGTGAGTTCAAAGCCAGCCTGTTCTACAAACCTTGGCAGGGACAGCCAAGGTTACATAGAGAAACCTTGTTTATATATATATTTATTTTTATTTTTTTCTTTCTTTCTTTTCAATTTTCACTAGTCAAGGTTCCTATGGTACATCTCTGAACACAAGAGGTGCTCAACAAATGCACATGTCCTTCACAGATCAAAAAATAACTTCCCTTTCACACTGGTCATACCTAGGGAAAATGTTTAAGATTCATATCAAACAGCGCATGAACACAAAGTAAAGACAAGTGAAATCCTCATGTGGAACCTACAGTCGTTTGTCAGTAGGGATCTCTGTGTAGTATTGGTTCTTTCCCCTTATAGCTCATGACCACACATAGAATCTACTCCTGCCCCACATAGAATCTCTCATAAGTGAAGAGACCTTTAAGAAGTCATGTTTCCACTCTGTAATCATTATTCAGTGACTATCACAGCACAGAGAGAGGCTACAGGCTAATAGCATTGTGTATGTAGGGCTATCAAAATCCTAGCTCTGCCCCATATGTGACTCTGAAAGAAGATCCATCTTCTACAGAAATCTGATGAGACTGATTTATAAAGTAGTTGTGGTAATACAAAAGTATATACTTAACAGTGGAAACTTCAGAATGGCCTACCATATAATGTCCACACAAATATAGTTAAATATGCAAATATAAATTTTCCATAGCAATGGATCTGAATGTCTTGACTCCACATGAAAGATTTAAATCCTTCATGATGGGCTGGAGAAATGAGTAACTCACAGTTGAGAGTGCTTCCAGCATCAAGTTTAGTTTCCAGCACCCACAACATTTGACCTAAAGCTACCTCTAACTCTAGTTCCAGGGGGATCCAGTGCTCTCCAGTGCTCTCATCTGGCCCCCATGAGCAGCTGCACATATGTGACACACATTCACAAAAACATATTAAATATTTAAGTCCTCTGAGATCATATTTCTGTTCATATAATTCTTACCAATATATTCTATAACTTTTACATTAATTAATGTTATTTTACATTAAAATTTTAAGCATATGTAACAAGCAAAATACTATAGTTTTAATATCATGTCAAGTGATCCTCTATGGTTTAAAATACTTCAGTAACTTGTTGATATTATATTCTTAAAGTAATGGTGATAAACACCTTTGATCCCAGCACTTGGGAGGCACAAGCAGGCAGATCTCTCAGTTTGAGGTCGGCCTAGTCTACAGGGCAGGCAGAGCTACACAGAACTTTCCTCTCAAAAACAAAAACATTATGTTCTTAAGATCATCGAATAAAGTCAACTCCATGGCTTAAAATTACTAAATCCTTTTCCTATGAGGGCTGTTCTTATCCTCTCTTTTGGCTTTTGTTTGTTTTTTGTTTTTGAGACAGGGTCTTCTCCACAGACCCTGGGCTGCCCTGGTATTCACTTTGTAAGACCAGTCGTCTGCCCTCAGACTCACTGACCACTTGCCTTTGCCTCCCAGTGCTGGGATGGAAGGTGACCGTAAAAAATGTCAAAGTGCTCTAAACATATAAAGTAAGATCTCCTAGATCACGAACCCTTAACAGTCAAGTAGTGCCTGTGTGGTCCCAGCACTCAGGGAGCAGAGAGATCTCTGTGAAATTGAGGCCACCCTGGTACAGATACAGTCATTCCCTGTCTCAAAACTAATGAGAATTTGAAGTCTTTAGCCAGAAATAGTAACAGATACCTACAATTCCTGCACTTGGAAAAGAAAAGTACAAAGATCATGAATTTAAGCCCAGTCTCATCTAATAGTGAGTTCAAGGCTAGCTACATAAAACTCTTTAAAAAAAAAAAATATATGATCCCAGTACTTGGGAGGCAGAGGTAGGTGGATCTCTGTGACTTCAAGGCCAGCTTGATTTACACAGTGAGTTCCAGGACAGCCAAAATAAAAAACAAGTAGCTCATGGCAGCTCAGTCTCCAAGTGGGTTCCCCAGTAATGGGAACAGGGACTGTCTCTGATATGAACTCAGTGGCTGGCTCTTTGATCACCTCCCCTTGAGGGGAAGGCAACCTTACCAGGCCACAGAGGAAGACAATGCAGCCAGTCCTGATGAGACCTGATAGGCTAGGGTCAGATGGAAGATGAGGAGGACCTTCCCTATCAGTGGAAGGGGGAAGGGGCATGGAAGGAGAAGAGGGAGGGCGGGATTGGGAGGGGATGAAGGAGGGGGCTACAACTGGGATACAAAGTAAATAAATTGTAATAAATAAAAACATTTAAAAAATCTAGGGGTGGGGGCTGTGGGCTGTAAAGATGGCTCCAGAGTTAAGAGTATTTTCACTACTCAGCAATTAAAAACAAGGAAATCATGAAATTTGCAGACAAATGGTAGTAACTAGAAAAAAAGATCATCCTGTGTGAGGTAGCCCAGAAGCAGAGAGACACACATGGTATATACTCACTTATAAGTGGATATTAGACATATAATACAGGATAAACATAATAAAATCTGTACACCCAAAGAAGCTAAGCAAGAAGGAGGACCTTGGGTAAGATGCTCAATCCTCATTCAGAAAGGCAAACAGGATGGACATCAGAAGTGGGAGAAAACAGGGAACAGGACAGGAGCCTACCATAGAGGGACTTTGAAAGACTCTACCCAGCAAGTTACCCATAGCCAAACTTTGGGCAGAGTGCAGAGAATCTTAGGAAAGAAGGGGGAGCTACAAAGACGTGGAGGGCACAGGAGATCCACAAGAAGAGCAACAGAACCAAAAAATCTGGGTCCAGGGGTGTTTTCTGAGACTGATGCTCCAACTAAGGACCATGCATGGACATAACCTAGAACCCCTGCTCAGGTGTTGCCCATGGCAGCTCAGTGTTCAGGAGTGTTCCCTAGTAATGGGAACAGGGACTGTCTCTGACATGAACTCAGCGGCTGGCTCTTTGATCTCCTCCCATTGAGAGGGGAGCAGCCTTACCAGGCCACAGAGGAAGACAATGCAACCAGTCCTGATGAGACCTGATAGGCTAGGGTCAGATGGAAGGGGAGGAGGACGTCCTTTATCAGTGGACTTGGGGAGGGGCATGGGAGGAGATGAGGGAGTGAAGATGGGATTGGAAAGGGACGAGGGAGGGGGCCACAGCTGGGATACAAAGTGAATAAACTGTAATTAATAAAAATTAATTAATTTTAAAAAAGAGTACTCACACGGGTTACTATTCTAGAGGACTCAGGTTTGATCCCTAAATCATACTTGGTGTATTAGAACCACTTCTAACTCCAATCCCAGGGGATCCAACACCCTCTTCTGGCCTATGGAGGTACTCCACACACACACACACACACACACACACACACACACACACACACACACGTATGCAAACATACACAAGTAAAACAACCCAATCATACAAAACAATTATGGTAAAAATAAATTTAAAAAATCTGGAACACATTCTTTCATACACACTTTTTTATAAACACTAAGATATATGTTACTCTGTGTTAGTGGATGAGTCAAATCAATGTCTGGAGCAGTGGTTCTGTTTTCAACTTTGCTAATGCTGTGGCCCTTCGGTAGAGTTCCTCATGTTTTAGTGACCCCCAAACCATAAACTTATTTTCATTGTTACTTCATAGCTGTAATCTTGCTACTGCTATGAACCATAATGTAAATATCTGACATGCAGGGTATCTGAGATGTGACCCCAAAAAAGGTCTTGGCCCAGTTTGAGAACTGTTGTTCTACAGTCTTATTTTTCTGATGTGACACTGTAACAATTGAAATGGACAGCATTTTTCCATTTTACTATTCTACACTATAAAACTTTTTAAACTTTTATTTTTAATTGTGACCCCTGGATGCTCAATGAAATTAAACATTTTAATCATTTTATTTCTCCTTTGCAAACTGTCACTACATTTTGCATGTATAGCAACTGAGGTCTGTAGTCATTTTACCACTGTTTTTGCATATTTTTCATGCTAGTCTCAGTATTATTAAAATAAAATACTTTGGAGAGGTATGCTGAATCCTTCTGAATATAATTATGGGTGTGTACATATGCTTGTGTTTCTGCATACATAATTGTGCATACATTTGGGGTTCTAAATTTCAAGTGTCATTTAGTACTAAAATCTACCACAAAACAACTTCAGTGTTTTGGTTTTGTGTGTTTGTGTGTGTGTTGGTGTTTTGTTTGTTTCTTTTTGTTCATTTTAGAGACAGGGTTTCTTTATATTCCTGGCTAGCCAGGAACTCACATGTGCCTCAAACTCAAGAGATCTGCCTGCCTCTGCTTCCCAAGTGCTAGGATCAAAGGTATGTGTCCCCAGCTGCCTGGGGAAATTTCACTATTTTTAATTCCTTGTTACATTACTTTTTTAATTATAAAAATGTTCATGTAAGTGTATCATTTGACTGATTTTTTTATATTTAATTTTCTGTGTATAGGTATTTTGTTTGCATGCAGGTCTATGCACCAGGTGCACAGGTGTATGCCTCGTGCATTAGGAGGCCATAAGAGGGCATCAGATTTCCTGAACTGCAGTTAGATGGCTGTGAGCTGCCATGTGGGTGGCAGGGACTAAATATGGTTCTTCTGGAACAGCAGCAAGTACTCTTAACCACTGAGCCATCATCTCTCATGCTCCACTGACCTGAAGACGATTTTTTTTCAAAATTTTTATTAGCATATTTTAAATTTAAAATAAAAATTTAAATGACACTGATGCATTCATGTAGTGGGCTTTATGTAGTCACTTAGCAGACAAGTCAGGGGAATATATTCTCTCCTTTACCATGTGGAACCTTGTTTACTGAATTCAGCTTGTCAGGCTTGGCAGCTTTACCCACTGGGCTTCTTATTAGCATATATTAATTATACATAATAATGACCTTTTTGCATATGTACATAATGTATTTAGATCATATTACCTTTCCACTCTCTTCCTTTTCCCAACTTACTCCCCCTTCTACTTTCATGTCTCTTAAAATTTTTTTGGTTTTGTTTTGTTTTTAAGACAGAGTTTCTCTGCGTAGCCCCGGAACTCATTCTGTAGCCCAGGCTGGCCTCCAACTCATTGAGAGCCACCTACCTTTGCCTCCTGAGTGCTGGGATTAAAGGTCTGCTGCCACCACCCAGCTTTTATTTAAAAAAAAAAAAAAAAAAAAAGGAACTAATGGTTCGTGATGGCAGCCAGCGGTGCCTTTTGAAGGACAGAAACTCTATTTGGTTTCTTTCCTTCTGGGAAAATCCCCTCCCCTAAACTCCTTCCTCACTGTCAGAGAAAAAGAAGTCAATACTTGTATGAGTTTAGAAAATAAAATCCAGTTGGTCAGCAAAATAACTACAAGTTAAAACACACAAACACACACAAATATTTGAATGTTTCTACATATTTATATTTAGGACACAGTCAGCATTTCAGAAACACCTCTCAGAATTAAACAGACTCCTGTTTACTGAGTATTGACAAATACGTGATAAATTTACCTTGCAGGGTTAGTGAGATCGTTCAGCAGATAAAGAAGAGTCTGCCGCCAAACCTGACGGCCTGACTTTGAATTCTGAAATGCACATGGTAGAATTGGACAATCTATGCCACAAATTTTCCTCTGACCACATGTATGCCGTTGTGTGAATGTACACACGCACACCCACACACCCACGCATAAATGTAATAATAAAATTACCTTGCAAATAATCTGCCAGGTCGCCACCATTGCAATACTGATAAGTAAAAGAAAAAGTAATTAACTTCAAAAGATACTGCTATTGTGATTAAAATAAAGTATTTTATAGCCTTAAAGGTAGTATACTTCTTTAATCTTTGCACCTAAAGGGGAGAGGTAAGTAGTTCTCTGTGAGTTCAAGGACAGTCTGGTCTATAATTTGAGTTCTAGGACATAAAACCTGTCACAAAACAAAACAAACAAAACAAAAAAACCCAACAAACATTTTGGTTTTTTTTTTTTTTTTTTTTTAAAAAGCCAGTTGTGGTGGCACATGTCTTTGATCCCCGAACTAGGAAGGCAGAGGAAGTCAGATCTCTGTGAATTTGAAGCCAGCCTGGTCTACAAAGCCAGTTCAGGACAGCCAGGGCTCTATTACACAGAGAAACCCTGTCTTGAAAACCAAACCAAAACAAACAAACAAATAAAAAGGAGGGTCCTTGAGGTAACCCAGAAGGTAAGCATGCCAAGTGTGAATCCCTTGGCCCCACATGAGAACCAATGCTTGAAAGTCTTCCTCTGGGATGGTAGCACACGACTCTATGGTACACCTCTTTAATCCCAACATTTAGGAAGCAGAGTCAGGAGAATCTCTATAAGTTCGAGGCTATCCTAGTCTATACAGTGAGTTCCTGGACCGCCAAGACTAAATAGAGAAGAAAGAAAAAAGAAAGTCTTCCTTGATTCTCCACGCCAGTACCTAGCCAGTACCCTCCCCAACAGATGGACATATAAGAATAGATAAAAATGTAATTTTTCTCTTTTCTTCCTTTTTTTTTTTTTTTTTTTTTTTTGAGAAAAGTTCTCTACTATATAGCCATAGCTATCCTAGAACTCTTCCTACATACACCAGGCTAGCCTCAAATTCATAGAAATCTACCTAACTCTGTCTCTGTTGGGATTAGAGGCATGTGCTACCACGCCCAGCCAATAAAATGTAATTTAACTTAAAAAAAATTAACTAAAGTAAGACTATTGGGGGGCTGGAGAGATGGCTCAGTGGTTAACAGCACGGCAGCTCTTCCAGAAGACCCAGGTTCAATTCCCAGCACCACATGGCAGCTCACAACTGTCTATAACTCCAGTCCCAGGGGGTCTGACAGACAAACATACAGGCAAAACACCAATGCACATAAAAATAAATCATTTAACAAAATAATATTGAGCCTAGCACAGTAGCACACACCTGTAATCCCAGCACTCAAGGAGGCAGAGGCAGGGGGATCTCTGTGAGTTTGAGGCCAGCCTGGTCTACAAAGTTAAGTCCAGGACAGCCAAGGTCACACAGGGAAACCCTGTCTCAAAAAACCAAAACAAAACAAAATAAAAGTCATTTGTAAAATATCATCTAATTTTTTATGAAGTAGAATAAAAATCATTCAATCAACTTTATTAATACTTATTGTCAATACTGGTAGAATACCTACCTCCATCACCAGATAGACAGAGTTGGGTAATTCCTAGAAAATGAACACAAATATCATAAAAAACTAAACACTAAGTTTAAAAATAGTGAGTTAATCAAATACTTACTGATTATTAAGCTAATAAACTCACAAAATGCTTCAGAAAGCGAAATCAAAATTCTCAGGCAAGAGGACTCTTTTGTTTTTAATCTCATTGCTCTGCTGGGGATGGAAGCCAGGGCTGTGGACACTGTGGGCAAGCACCTCTATGCTATACCCCCAGCTCTGAACTTCTCTACACAGTGTTTTAAGCATCTGTTCTGCACAGCCAAATCAAATTCTGCCGACACTCAGGCAGTCAACAAGAAGTTCAGGCACAGTGGCAGAGACATGGGAGAACATACGCTCAAGGCTTCATCAATGTAGCAAGGCCCTGTCTGCAAGCACCAACAAAAAGCATGGTACATGCACCATCTGTGAAAACGAAGACTTTATTCGGTCCTCAGGAAAGCACTCCCACTCTGAAAAGTTTGAGTTGGGTAGCAAATTGGCCTATCCTCTTTCCTAACAACAGCATCAAACTCTGGTTTGGGGGGAGTTGTTTGTTTGTTTGTTTGTTTGTTTGTTTGTTTAGAACAATCACATTATCAGTAAATGAAATGTCTTATTATATGACCTTATATTATGTCAAAATTAAGATGTCTTATTTTATCACACAAAGATATGTATAAAGACTCAGGAGGCAGAAGTAGGTGGATCTCTAAGGTCAAGGCCAGCCCAGTCTACAGAATGAGTTCCAGGATAGCCAGGGCCACACAGAGAAACCCTGTCTCAAAAAACAAACAAACAAACAAACAAACAAGATATGTTTAAAGATTTAAGGAAATAATTTGAATATTTTTTACAAAGTGTCACACTTATACAGCTTCAAGTCTGCTGTATTAATAATTCAGAGACTAAGTATATGACAATTTTTATTCGATTTTTAAAAAACTGAAATGCTAATTTTGAACTGGCTCTATGGCTTAACATAAGCCAGTGTTGAAATGCTCTAATACTTCAAACGCAGCAATTAACCACAACAAGATCCAAAATTCAAAAAGAAGGTGGTCCATGAAAAACAAGAGACACATCACAGAATGGGAGTGACCTGTTCTAGTCAGAAAATGACTTTACATGGTCCACATTATGCCTACCAGAGAACTAGAGAATTAACAGTAAGATTCTGAAAAACCTAAGGCAATTCTACAATTTTAACGACTGAACTGAATAATATCAACTCTGATATGGGAGTGTACATCATTCACAAAATACGTGCTTGGTATGCCTACATGAGCCCTCTTCTAGCCTCCACAATTCACTAGGCATGCACACGGTGCAGAAACATACATGCCGGTAAAACATTTGTGCACATAAAGTAAACATATCCATTTAACCTGTCCAGCACCACCAGTTCCCGTTCCTGTATTCTGATCATGAAAAGCCTTCTCCTTGGTCCTCAAGCTCAATAGCTCAATCATTCTTCCTTTCTGTGGCCTTCACAAGGAAGCTCCTCGGGGTGCTTACTTGCTATTCTCTCACCAACTCCTAGTCTAGCCTTCTCACCCATCTGTCAAATCATTTCTTCAGAGAGCCTTCCCCAGCCCCACCCTGATATCCTCATATAGTTCCCTCCAGAGCTCTACAACAGTTCATCACATGTAGCCTTTGGCCTGCCTACAATTAGTAACTATTTGCTTAATGTCATCTTCCACACTAATCGTAACATCTTCCACTGGAAGCAAGAACAGCTTCTTTGCTTCCCCTTACCACTATACTCTGTACATTTCCGTAACCGGCTCAAGAGAATACTAACAACAATGAGATTAGCAACAAACACACCAGAAGCAGCAATGGGAAAGTCAGAAAAAAAAAAAAAAACAAAGGGCAACTATAACAAGATGACCCATTTACTAATGATTTATGAGATAATTTCTTTAACCTTAGGTATTTTTCTTCTAATGAGATTTGTCAAGCATGTGTGTCGTGAGGGATGTCCTACTGCTCAAAATAAACAAGTTTATTTTATACTGTAGTTCTAGGAGAACAAAACCATTTTCATGCAGCCACCTTGAATTCAAAGATTGATAGCTTGCGCTTTGTTTATATTTCTTCTAGTGATAGCTCATTCCACAATCAAAACCTGTACTAAAAAATGTTTTTCATTCTGAGAGAAAAGACATCTAAATAAAAATTCTGAAAGCAAAATCTGCTCACGGTTGCCAGGGTTTTCTAACTGCTCTAAGAACGGTAAGTGAGGACTCCCTAACATTTAACATTTTTTGTACTAGGTACTGACCTGCACCACCCAGCACCCTCTATCCACAGGGTACAGGTGACACAAACAGCTGAGGAGAATGCACATTTCAGCGAGGGATGGTGACATGGAATTTGGTTCTGACTTGAGAATTTGTTTTACCCTTTCTAGAAAGGGTTTGGATTTCGCAAAGGAGGGGGTGACTGACATCTAATCAAGCCAACATTCATACTGTCTGTGCATGGGAGCGTACATTGCAGGCTTTTTCTTGGAGCGCAATCATAGTCTATAATCAAACTCTGTATCATTGTTCACGGTATTTGAGCTGGACATTCCAAACCCCGAAGTCAAAGAAATTTTCAGAGGGGATACGTCACTGTCATTTGTGTAAAGGCAAACCTCAAACATAGGGGAGATAAGTCTCTTGTGATGTGATGAGCATGTGTACCAGTCCCTCCTGCATCCTCCTCACACTGAACACAGCCACCAGGACTCCAGCACTTAAACAAGGACGTTTAAAAAAGTAGCAGACGCCCTCTAAATGCAAGCCAATTACTTCATCAGAAAATACACTTTTCTCCAAAGTAGATCTCTTGAAAAGATTTCCGGAATGATTCTGACTACAGTTTGCCTTAAATGACTTTAGACTTTGCCTCAAAAAAAAAAAAAAAAAAAGCAAACAAAAAATGACCTTAGAATCCAGATTTCCTATCTAAACAAAACACAGATCTAGCATATGCCGTGCTGCCCATCACACAACCACTCACTCACTCACACACACACTCCATGGTAAATGTGCTTTTTATTAATTTTATTTCCTTCTACTTCTATGATTTACCACGCTGCTTTCATAAGAAAGTTTTAAACTAAGTTTTACGTAGAGCACAACAGTCTTTCTACCTACTAAAGAAACGCTAGATCTGATGTAAACCACAAGTTAACCTAAAGCAATACCCAACAGCACATTCCCAAATATGAATACATTTACTCATGCAACTTATTATTTATTTATTTTAGTTCTATGTCATTTTAAAAAATTCCTGGAGCTGGCAAGATAGCTCTTAGGGTAAAGGCACTACCAGTAAACTTAAAAGATAGTCTGATTCCCTGGACCCTCTGCCTTTCACAGGTACGTCATGGTATGCATTCATCAACACACAAATACAATATACACATATAGACACATGAAATAAATAAATGCCATTTTATAAACATATTTCTTTATTTTTAGGTGTATGGGTGTTTTGCCTGCATTAATGTCTGTGTGCCATGTGCATGCTGGGTGTCCAGGGAGGCTAAAAGAAGGCAATGGATCCTTTGGGACTGGAGTTACAGACAGTTGTGAGTCTCTATGTGGATGCTGGGAACCAAACCTGGGCCCTCTGCAAGAGCAGCCAGTGCTCTTAACCACTGAGCCATCTGTCTATTACAAATAAATGTAATTTTAAAAATAAAAGAAACAGGGCTGGAAAGATGGCTCAGTGGTTAAGAGCATTATTTGTTCTTCCAGAAGTCCTAAGTTCAATTCCCACATTTTGGCTTACAACCACCTGTAATGGGATCTGATGACCTCTTCTAGTATATGTGACAACAAAGCACTCATACACATAAAAATAAAGATCACCTCTTTATTAATAAAGTTTAAAAACATTTAAAAACATTTAAAACATTTTAATATAATTCAAGTTGTATGTCTTTTCAACATGAATTAAGGAAATTTTAAATTTCCATTAAAATTCACTTAACTTCACAGGAAATAAACTTTTTTAAAAAATTGTTAAAAAAAAAAAAAACACCAAAATAACAAAAACCCAAACTAAAGTACCTGGACATCATAGAGCGCCACAATGTTTTCATGCTGGAGTTCCTGGAAAGAAAAAATTTCAATATTATTGTGTAGTCTGATGATTTTAATATATTCTACTATGCAAATAAAACTCATTTCTATATGCACATATACTACTTGTAGCATATGGCACCTTTACTAACAGCTTAGAACAAGTTAATCCACTATAGAAGAAAATAAATGGGTCTCATCTGACACCTAAGTATTTTTTACCACCAGTTTTTTTTTTTTTTTTTTAACGTTTTGTCTTATCTGTTTACGTGTATGCGTATTCTTGCCTGCTTGTCTGTCTGTGCTCAGTGTGAGAGCAGAGGTCAGAAGGGGGTGTCAACGCCCCGGGTCTGCAGTTAGGTACAGCTAGCTGTGAACTGCCATGTGGGTGCTAGGAATTGAACGAGGACTTCTTGAAAAGGCAGGTACTTCTCCAGTCCCATCACTGTTCATTTCTTAGACTTCTAATGAGATTATTTCGTTTGCCAAACAAATGTCATAATTAATGTGGATGCAGACTGTCTATTTAGTCTCCAATTTTTAATGTTTCATATAGTAATAAAGACATAAAATCCCAAAGTGCTTTTAAAAAGCATTTTCTGCATGAAACATAATTCATAGCTTAGAGAATCTTTTTGTGGTCTTTTTTTAAATAACTTATTTAATTTTATTTTATGTGCATTGGTGTGAAGATGTCAGATCCCTTGGAATTGGGGATTGGTGTTACAGACAGTTGTGAGCTGCCATGTGGGTGCTGAGAATTGAACCTGGATCCTTTGGAAGAGCAGGCAGTGCTCTTAACCACTGAGCCATCTCTCCAGCCCCCTCTTTTTGTGGTCTTAACTGCTGCACCATTTCTCCCCTCCTAAGAACTGAAATTATTACCAAAAATCCTCCACAGAACATTTTTGAGGAAAGCAAATGCTGAATGAAGTTTCTGTGATCAAATAAGTACATGGGTTAAATAGACCAAATCCAGTAGAAAACTTCCCTTTCTTTAGTGAGCCAAATGTTTGTAACTATACAAATATTCAGTAAACGAAGTTTACCAAATTTATCTGACTATGGACTCTTTTATTTTCTCCCCCTGAAAGCATCTTACTTTGATGATGCTACAGGATGTAAGCTGATCTAAAAAGTAACTTTCTCCTGGAGCTGGAGATCTGGCTCAGCAGTTAAGGTGCTTCTCTTATGGAGGACCCCGCTTCAATTACCAGAACCAACGTGGCAGCTCACAGCTGTCTGTAACTCCAGTCCAAGGGGATCCAACAAACATCTGGTTGCCCTGGGCACCAGGCACATACAGAGTGGGTATGATACATACATACATACACGCAGGTAAAAATACTTATACACATAAAGCAATAAAATAAACATATCAAAAGTAAATAACTATTAAAAAGTTAACTTCCACTTTGGCGATGATGGCACATTCCTTTAATCCCAGCACTCCTGAGGCAGAGACAGGCCAATCTCTGTGTGTTGGAGGCCAGCCTGACTTCAGCGTGAGCTCCAGGACAGCCGGGGCAACCCCAGAATACACAGATAAACCCTGTCTTGAAAAAACTAATTAACTAACTAACTAACTAACCAGATAGATAGATAGATAAAAATAATTTTCTTCTATTTATAAGGAGAAAAAGAAAGACAAGTTCTCTTGCACCTCCCAAAACACATAAGGGCCTAAGGATAAAGGATGTCAACAGAAGAGAATGATATACCAATTGCACCTGCAGAGCATTCAAACAACAGCACGATAACTAGAAGAAATCATAAGAATTATGATTTAATTAAATTACTTAATTCAGTTAGTCAAAAATCAGTCTTCACAAAATCCCTCTGTTTGGTCAAGAGCCCCAAACATCTCTTCTTAAAAATAGCTTCAAAGAAGGCTGCAGAGGCAGAGGCAGCGGCTCAATGGCTATGGGTACTTGACTCTTGCAGGACTCAAGTTCAGTCCCCAGTACCCACACCCATCTCCAGGAAGTCATGCTCTTTTAACTTAGGGTACCTTTTAACCCAGAGTGTAACAGTATTCTAAAATAGCATACCTTTAAGATTTTTATTTCCTTTCCAAGCAGAATTTGTGATTTTGACAAGTTCTTTTTATTAATACTTTTAATAGCTACTTCCCAATCCGTTTTCTGAAAAGGAAAAACAGTGTTATGCCTGAAAATTATAACACAGAAACGACTCAACAACAATAAAAGCTGGTTAAGTGTAAATATATTTTAAGCAAATTAATGTACATGTAGGACTGGAGAAACATGATAAATATCCCAAATCTCAAGCTAAAAAAAAATTGTTTTATAAATGACACAATAGCCATTAAAAAGTAAATACAAAGACCATCTAGCATCAGTTGAAAAAAAGTTTACAACCACATAGGAGTTATGGAGAAATGTGTATATAAACTTGGGAAGTGATAGCATTCAATGAAAAGTTATCCTGGATGGACTACATTGTTTTAATTTTTAAAGTTATTTCATAATGAATGAACAACAGACGACAGTCCCCTTTTAATAGGCCCTCCGGCATCAATCAGAACAACTAAAGCTTTTTTTTTTTTTTAACTTCCATCCCCAATGTGCCTTCTCAAATTCTTTAGATTCTAAAACCTCCTGTGACCCTACTTGAGAAAGAGCAGTCCTAAAAAAAAAAAAAACGTTGAGGCTTAAACTTGCACCACGTCGTATTATTAGATTAGGGTCTAGCTATCTTCCCCCACTTGCGTTCGCCTAACTCAAGGTGAGAGACAGTTCGCAGAGGAACGCGACACCTCCGAGAAAGCCTCAGACTAACGGGAAACTCGCCCGTTTTCCGCTGGGTGTGCGGTCTGCCTCAGAGGTGACAGGCTCGGGAGAGCCTGAGGCGGGGGGGGGGGGGGGGGGGGGGGGGGG